GTGTGTGTGTGTGTGTGTGTGTGTGTGTGTGTGTGTGTGTGTGTGCGTTGAAGACGGAGAGTCAGTGTAAGCAGGTGCCCTCTGAGTGGGCAGCATGTGAAGTGCAGGCAGTTACCTGGGCAACACGTCACTGGAATCTCTCCGGTCACTAACACATCTAACTACAGCGGTGGAAAATAGAAGTGCAGTTTCTCCAGTAGTGAACTTAAAGGTCCCATATCTGACACCTTTCAGTTCAGACATCCAAAAGAAGATAAATCTGTGGTTTTAAGCACTAAAAAAATCATCTCAATGTAGTTTCATATCTCATCTTCCATTTAAAAGAGAGGCTCAGAACCTGGATCATCGTGATCATCAACAGTGATGCAGCCTCCAGCTCAAACCCGAGACCATGGTGTCTATCAGGCAGCAAGGATAGAATAAGGTAAAAGGGAAGGCCAGTGCATGGAAGGAAAGTCTGCTGGTGGCAGCGTGACAGAGGAGTGTGTGAGGAAATTGTGGCAGAAATGTGCTTTGCGAGGGCAGCAGCTATGAAGAAGCATAATCCATAATCCAACAATCAGAAGAAGAAAAAAGTTGAGGCTGAAGGAATAAGAGTCCTAAATAGAGATAAAGAAAAATACTGCAGCTTTCAGATTAATTAAGAGAAACCAATCTCACTTTCTATACAAGAGGAGACCTTTTAGTACAATTTAAGGTACTTCCCTTGAGTACTTCCCCTCGTACCCTGGCTGTTGCCGTGGCGGCCGTGTTTTGATGAGGAGACTCAGTGCACAGAGGCACTCGAGACATTTGTCCCGAGCACAGGTGCACAAACCACCTGCCTGAGGATCAGCTGCCGGACGGAGAAGGGTCGCCTCTCAAACACAAACCCAATTACACCCTGTGCTAGAGCTCCCCCTGGGGGGTTTACTGGATAAACCAGGAGCTGTGTTATGTCAGAGGGCCCTTGAGCAAACCCCAGAACACCAACCACTTAATAGGATTCCAATGAGATCATTGTGGAGAGAAGAAAGGATTAAAAGATTACACATTTAATCAGTTGTGTATCTGTTTGTTAAACTTAAAGGTTCATCACTGAACTGTGCATTCACTGGGACTTTCAGCTCCAACTGGTGACCTTCATCAGAGGAATTTTATATTTCACAGCCCTATACGACCACTTGTTATCACATGATGGAAAAGTTATACTTAGGTCACCATCTCCCCGCCGATGAAGGCCACAGGATGCTGCTGAAAGAACACTTCCTTTAAAATGACCTTCTAAACATTTTTTCAATCAAACTATTCAGTCGTTGATTTATCATCATTTTTAGCTTCAATGTTTAATATTAAAACTTCTGTGAGAGAGATGTGAGTTTAAACTTTCACACGTTACAAACGATCTCAGTCTGATCTGTCTGATCCCATCTATTTATGTCTGAAAGATTAACTTTCTCTACAGGACATCAATGTGGGGTGGGGGCAGGAAGTGGCTCAGTCTGTCTGTGTTTCTTGGCAACGAAAGAAAGCAGGAGAAAAAGGGAGAAAGACTGGAAGAAATAATGGAGGAGAGAGAGGCAGAGCCATCAAACGGACAGGCTTTTAATCTACAGGAAAGGAGAGGAGACGACGACGTCTGTGCGTGTCGCTGTTTGCAAAAGTGGAGTGAAACAGTACGAATCAACTTCCTGTGAGTGGAGGTGTGCGTCCTCTCACCGGTCAGGTGGTCCACGGTGGGGGCTACTCTGCACCTCTTGAAAAAGTCGTCTGTGTCGGCGTCCACCACCAGCAGCCGGGTCTCGTTTCCGCCGGCTTTAATGGCGGCCACTACTTGTGAGTGTGTCTTCCCCTCCACCGACACGCCGTTCACCTGAGGAGGAGAGGAAATGGTGGAATTAGGGTTTTTAGAAAAATTGCGGTATAGCTGGATATCCTTCCAAAAAGGTCACTGGTGTTTTTTGTTTTTTTGTCTTTGTTCCCACAGAGAAGTGAACAAACTGTTCCATCACTGTCAGGAGTTCATTCTCAACATTATCACTCTGTCTGCCAGAGGCTCCAGGGCAGGAAATCCTGTGTGTCCACACATAAATACACGTACGCATGTACACATACGCTGACTTTCAAACAGTAACTAGCAAAACAAACCTTTAGGGCTCAATGGTCGACTCTTTACTCATTGTACACTAAGTGTTTAGAGCTTTCCTGGTATTTCACCGACAGTGTAACGGCTACTTTTTAGCTTTATGGCAAATCAACATGTCAGGTTGCTCCATCCCAGACCAGCTGAGTGTTGTGGGATAAAATCTCCATGGGAAAGCATGTAAGAAATGTCTCGAAGGGTGTGTGGGTGTGTGTGTGTGTGTGTGTGTGTGTGTGTGTGTGTGTGTGTGTGTGTGTGTGTGTGTGTGCTTAGGTCATAGGGCGGCCCAGCACATCTAAGGCAGCCTCACAGAGGAAGCTGGACAATAGCCGCTCGGCCAGTAACAGTGGTAACAATGGTCGTCCGCTCCCCACAAAGCCTCGCTCCCCAGTGGGTGGCGTGGCTGTCTGGGGCCCTCTGGGGGACTGAAACCCCCTCACAAGACTCTAACACAGCCCTGAAACTTCTTTTTAATCCCTCTGCCCTCATCCCCCTCTCCGATTCTGTGTCACTCACATTCACGTGCTGGGGGGGTGAAATGTCATTTAGGTAGGAAGCCAAAAGGAAGCGTGTGTGATGGTCCTCTCTGAATGAGTCAGAGATGCTCACTGTGAGTTGCTTCTGCCGACTCAATAACAGTGGGAGTGATTGGTTGTATGAATAGTAACCACATGGCCCAGCAATTCTGAGTGAAAGCACAGACATGTGATCTGTGTGGGACCTGGAGGGACTGAATCCCTCACACTGCAGCATCACTGGTGAAGAACAAACACTGTGAGACTCAACAATAACGGTGTATAGACGTTATTATAGGCTACACTCAGCAAGTACTTTTACTTTTAATGAACTTTCTTACTTTTACGTTTAAAGTTAATGTGGTATTTTTACTTGAGTACGTTTTTGTGTCTATTTATTTGTCTGCTTGTTTATCTATTTACTCAAAGGTACAGTGTGTAGAATTTAGTGATATATAGTGTTGACGTTGCATGTTGCAGCTGAACACCCCTCACCTCACCCTCTCCTACCAAACATGAAAAAGAACCTGTGGTAGCTTCAGTTGTAATAAAAACTCAAAGGGGTTTAGTTTGTTCAGTCTGGACTAATGTAAAAAACATGGCGCCCTCCGTAGAGAGGGTCCCCTCGATGTAAATATAAAGTATTTAAATATAAATTGACTTTTCTGGTGTAAAGAAAACTACAATTCATACAATTAAGATGAAACAAACTAGTGAAAACATCATGAGGATTATTCTACATTACATTTCTGCCAATAGATCCCTTTCACCTAAATCTTACTCACTGGACCTTTAAGCTTAACATACACTCACACTGTTTAAACCAGTCTACACTGTACAGATGTGGGCAGATCAGACCCCAGACCAGTTAACAAGCAGATTAATCCAGCGTGAGGCCGCGTACAGTGACAGTCACAACCAAGTCCCCTGGTGGATTTAAGACCCCACACAGCGGCTGCTAGTTCATATCACATTCCTCTGAACACACTTGACCCAAACACTGAGTACAGGGTGAGCACCAGACCTGTGCATGTGGATTACTCTGATATTATTAATGTATAATTACATAACGAGTCTTAACGTTATATTATCTAGGTATGATGTAATTACAAGACCCAGCCTGCAGTCACAGGTTTAAAATAAACATAAAATCATAGCATGTGTGAATATTTTTATTTATTTGAGAATTATTTTCTCTGAGACAGTAAACAGACTTTCTCTCATACTTCACAGAAGTTGAGTCTGATTACACGTCACTCCATTCTTCTCTAAATTT